AACGGCACTACGGCAGGTGCTAGTAAAGCACAGTAGTAATCTTTTTGTTCAATTTATTTATAGCTTTTTTTTTCTTTTTTAGAAATTGGACTTCGATTTGCGAGTGGACTTCACATTTGTTGAGCCGGCCCAGCAAAGTTATCTCGACCCGGCAATCGTTGCCCAGCAACTGTCATGGGCTTCTTGCAAAGGAGGAAATAACTTAGGAATCCAATAACTTATACTCCAAGCCCATCAAATCAAAAGAGAGAAACATACTAGCACATGTGCTGGGAGCGGACCGGCGGCGGTGGGTGGATTGCCGGTCGAGCCGCAGTTTTTGAAGAATCTGAGCCTGAAGTCGCTGGACCTCTTCGCGCGGCCGCCATAGCCCTCTTACTTTGTGTTTTGAAGTTTTTCCTTTTGTTTTTGTGCAGGGGATAATGGAAGCCTGTGGTTTTGGGACTGGAAGAGTGGCCATAACTTTCAACAAGACCAGACTATAGTCCTGCCGGGTAACTATTGTTTTTCATCATGCATTGATTGGTAAATAGGATAAGCAGCAGCAGCAGCAGAACACCCTTTTAAACAGCGACGCCAGAAACCCATCCCATTAACTTCAAATCACCCGAGGATTGGGAGGCGGGATTAGGAACTCTTGGAGATGGGTTTTTTCTATTCTTGCCAAAAATCCTAGATTGGGAAGCTTTAGGGCACGTTCGGTTTTCACGTATTCAACTCCTAGAACGGATTCGGCCAGGAATACTACTGTATTTTATATGGCCATGCATCACCGGGATATGTTCCGGCCAGGAATGGCCCCAACCGAACGGGCCCTTATTGGAAACTGTTGCTAGAATCTTTCAAACGACCCCTTGCTCAACCGTTTACATGCAGGTCATTATTATTATGGATGGTGCATTTAGAACACAAGAAATAGATGCATCTTCAAATAGAGACTTGTCCGTCTTGATGTCTGTAAATCTTCTTTCAAGCGTGAGTTTGCCATTTGCCATTGTTATCAATAGGGAAAGAAACAAAAAATCCTACTATTGTAAAATGGCTGGACATGTTGAGTAAATTTGTTTTTTTTTCCTTTTGTATAAAAATCGTTCTTTAATTCATTTATATATTAACACTACTACTTTGCCCACTTTGTCCCTCGTGTTACAGCAAAAATACATCCTTGTTGTGACTAAAATGTAATGTTTGCTGCAAGACTACTGTGTTCCGATCCATCTGAAACTGATAAACGTATCTCGTAGAAGAGCAGAGAGCTGCTACTTTATTTATCTGGACGACAGTTCCCTTCCATGCTACAGTATTATCTAAAAAAAAGATTCCTTCCATCTTTATTCTCTATCTCCAGCCTCAAGCAAAGCGCAACAGAGAGCAGAGAGCAATGCATATGTTCTTTTTCTGAAAGCAGCCAAAGATCGAAGGGATCATTGCAAACCTGCAACATAGCTTGCCTTGACAGTTAGCACACCACATTCTCTCTGGGGGAGAGAGTTTCTGTTGTTTTCTCAATACAACAATGAATACCTAGCACCTAGCTAGCTGCCAGGCCCAGGTACCAATATTGTTGGGATTTCTATGCTTTTTTATGTCAATTATTAGTTGCATTTTTTGTTTAATTCTCTCAAGAATAGATATCTAGCTATATGGATTAACATGCGTGTTCTTGTATGGGATAGAACTCGTGTTGTTGTCGGTGGAGATCCTTCTGGAGGTGCAAAGATGGGTAAGATTTCTGGAGCTGCTTGTTAATTTGCTGGTGCTTTTTATACAGAAAAAATCATATCATGCCTTGAAGGGTGCCTCTTTTTCCCCTTCCATATAGATACATGCTAATAGTTTGGAAACTATAGACCAACAACATACTGCTACAAAGTTTAGCTTGGCTCTACACTTTGCATATATGAAAACCTACACAATTAATTTTTATCTAAATGTGTTCTAGACTTATGTGTGTCTACTTCTCTAATTACAAGATAAGCACTTGCAATGAAATTATGTGTGTTTAAATATGATAATTAAGTGCCACAAATAAATGCAGAATCATAAAGAAAAATTCCTTACATGCCATTGGCATAAACATAAATCCCTTATCTGCCACCTAAAAAACATGATTCTCATATATGCCATTGGTGTTAAACTGTAATCCCTTCCATACCAAGGTAATTGCCTAAGTAGGGATGAAAATAGGCCGGGTCGATCCATTGGGTAGTTGACCCAACCCTCAAAAGTAAGGCCAAAAGGTCACAGGGGCTGGTCTCAAGTCTAAAATTGGTAGATAGGCCTGGAACCAATTGACCCAATAGGTAACATGGATCGAACCAATCGTCACATAACAACCTTTTTTTTTTTAAAAAATGTGACAACCGAGAGGACAAGCAAATTGGTCTTTTTTATGTCTATTAGCTAAGACTATTGGAATATGATCACTAATGGCATAAAAGAGATTAAAATTTATGGATAGTGTTATTGACAGGATTTGAGTTTTTTTAGGCGGAAGATCAGGGATACAAGTTTTAGCCAATGTCATATAGGAAAATTCCTCAAATAAACATAAAGGTAGAGAACGCAAACTTGGCACATGGGTTGATGTACTTCCGTGGTATCATTGAGTTGCCACTCACCCCTAGTCCATGTCAGAAGGGTGAGTCTCCGACTAGGCCTTACCAAGAGCTCTCCTAGCTATCTTCACTTGAGGGAAATTCATCACCACTCTAGCGCATGGGCCTTCCAACACTATGTACAAATGCTCGCGTCGACTCCAAAATCTCAGGGAGCGTTTTGCAAGATCAAACCATTGTCAAGCTGTCTAGGTGTCAATACACATAAAAAACAATAGGTGTGACTCATCCACTTATTCCTCTCTAGGTTGATCACCTAGAAAGATGCACACTAGACCTTAACTAGCACAAGCAAGTTCTAATCTTGTGCTAATAGCATTGGATCTTATTTTTAGCACTTTGGTAGCTTAGATGTGTCTCTCAAATGTGTGTGCATGTGTGTGTGAGCTGGCTCAGTGGCACATTTCAAAATTGCTCTGACTAAACTCGTTTTTCTTTTAAAACCAAAATGAGTTTATTTTGAGTCATTTTTTTACTTTGGCTTAGCTAGTTAGGCTCAGCTCTTTAAGCTCAGTTTCAAGTTGGGTATCAAACAATTTAGGGGACTATGATAAATAAGATTATGTCAATTTTGAAGAAAAAAAGTGCAGTTGACTCATTATCCACCCTGCTTGAGCCTCAGTAGCATCACCAAATGGCTAGATAATAGGGTATATATAGGTCCAACCCCTAACATTAGATGTCGCGCCAACAACGCACTGGGGCCATTGCCTATTGTGATATCATGTACGGGGCAGATGAGGATGACCTGGACAACACCTCCACCGACTTTGATCGGACTATTTAGCCTTTGTTGTTGTCCCTACTACAGTCCCCACATAGTTGAGCTTCCACCATGAGATTGTACATCTCCAACAAGACCATTTCTAAGATTGTGCTAAAGTTTCGTACTTGCTGGTGCCATGATGTAGATCCTCAGTGCGGTGGTCTAGCATGCTTGGGAAGGTGTTGCTGCCCCCCCCCCCCTCTCGTGCACCTTTTGTCCCTCATTGTCTGATGCAATATTGATTGAGTTCCCATCTATAAACGCATCGGAGGACATCATCCGCTGATCATTGATCTCATTCGACAATCGTAGCATAGTGGTAGAGGAGCATGGGGATTCTAATAAGAATTTCTTCACTGACATTGTAGCAATAAACTTCCCTACTGAGAATTGGTTATATCCATGCGGCCATCCACCTTGGCATCCATTGAGAAAACTTGCTGCATCAACATGTGTGTTGCCTCACATGAGAACAAACTCAAACATGCACACCTCGTGTTGTTCCCCAACCCCAGTCCACAACCACACTTGGGGGCTTCTAGAGTCCATGCTGTCTCCAACCCTGGGTTAACCCTTTTATGTGAAGCAAGTACAAGAGCATAAGTGGGTTGATAGTAGTGTCTGTAGTTCACTCTGTGCATACTAGATCTAAGCCATTTTGGACTCACGGTGTTATAAATGGTATCAAGCTCACCTTCATGGACACGGTCGCTTGCAGGTTAGGGGTGCATACATGTGGTGTATGGCACGTGTGGGTCATACAAGGTTGCACGACATGACACATGTACTAGCACTAGACGCACAGTCACGTGTGCCAAGAGGGAATGTTCCTGGTCATCGTTTGCCAAGATGCTTTTCTAGCTGTTGGCTTTTCTACCTATCGTTGATACACTGTATTTATGCCACCTCTTACTCTGGAGGTTAACTGATGCTACATATATGTAGGGTGTTTGCGTTCAAAATCTGGAGTTGGATGCATAACTTACAATTAAGCAAGAGCTAGATAGCTTGAGAACCGGCTGGGCAACAAGTTGATTCATCATGCCAGCAGAGGTAAACCATAGAGTGACTTCTGATCTTCCTTTGTAACTTGAAATGAGAATGATCACTCTGTGACCATACAAATACAATGCGCACTCAACTCATATTGTACGGCTTTTACACATAGAATTACACACAAATTAAATATTTATATATTTATCAGCTGTATTTTTAACATACTTATTGAATCACTTAATTTTAATAGTACATGAATCCATTGATGCTCTTTTGCATGTGTAAATTAAAACCAAATCAGTTTTTTTCTTACATATATACATTTTCTAAAAGAGATTTCATTGTTAGCAGACACTGAGTTTGAATGTTTGCTTTATGCTGGCAATATATAAAGAATATTCCTCCATCTATCTAAATGTATATTTAAGTATTTATAATATTTATTTGACATGTGAAGGCTGTGTAATTGATCACTGTGGTTAATAACATATGACATAGGACATGTATGCTAGACTTGTCTAATTAATTGGTATTGACCACCATTTCAGGAGATCTTGATCAAGACAGATAGCATCGCTGATGCAGCAACGGAGATAATTAGTTTCCTTGAGGGTACCGGCATGGGAAGAAGCTTGGCATACTTTGATGGTTGGTTTGGATTGGGGGCATCCGCCGTCCTTAAAGCAATTGTCAAGCGACTTAGATCATCATCATCACGAGGGTCTACTACTGGGTTGACAACAGGCTTGAACAAAATCATCCACATTGATTGCTCACTGTGGCAAAGCAAGAGAGCTTTGCAGAAGGCAATTGCAGAGGAGCTGCAGCTTCCCCAGCATATGATGGCCATCTTCGACCATCATGATGAGGCGGATAATTTTGATGGGGTGGAGGAGAGTGCTAGAGGCGTGATACCACTTGTCACGAAGGCAATCATGGACAATCTATATAACCACAGATTCCTGTTGGTCTTCCATAATGGGAGCGGCGAGTACATTGATTTGTCGGAGTGTGGTGTCCCTGTAATAGGGCTTTTAGGCAAGAGGGTGCTTTGGACTTCCCGCGGCAGGTTCCGCCTTCATGGCATACAAGATGAGGATGTGAAGAAGTTAGCTGGGATGAGTGATTTTGCTATAAGTGCTGATTTGTCTAGTGACTTGATATTTGATAGATTGGTGTCTCTCCTACACGCAGAGGCTATGGAGGTAACCAGTTACATTGGTATGCCTGAACCAGACTTGAGCCCTAAGATTGCCATGGAGTGCTTCTTGTATACGGTGCTGATGAGAGGCGAAGACTATGGCATTGACTGGACCACCCATGCAGCCAACTACTGGGTGTGCGATGGGATCATACAGACACAGACCACCAATAATGGAAACAGATCAGCATGGGAGATTGCTGATGCCCTGCATAGGAACATGAACTTGCAGATAGATTGGCATCCGATTTGGGTGGTGAACATCCGTGATGTCATTGGATTGTGTTGTAAACAGTGGGAGTGTTGTGACCGTTGGGTTTCAGCCAACCGAAAAAATGTACATTATCAACAGCATCACAAGGAAAAGGAAGGCAAGCACTATGACATAGCAGTAGCACAAGTGCCACCTCAGGTGACATCCTTTTTCTGTTCAGGGGCTGGAGCTGGACCATTGGTTGACAACAACAATGCTACAACAACACTAGAAGCTGGCATATTCGATCATTCAGATAGAAGCATGCTGCTGAGCGTGATACATCTGTCCTACTGTACATTCAGTTTTTCACGGCCTCCTTTCCTTAGCTGCAGCAACCTAAGATTCCTTTTGCTTGACCATTGCAAAAATAAGGACATGTCGTCAAACCATGGTGGTGACGAGGAGCATCATGAACACAACAACCATGACAGCGGTGCTTGTTTTCGGAAGCTATGGGTGCTGGATCTAAGTTACACAGATTGGTATTGGTTGCTATCAAAAGAAATGATGGACCTAATGACTGAACTGAGGGAGTTGAGCGTGAAGGGAGTCAAGAACTGGAGCATAAGCCAACTAGACCACCGTCATTTTGGTGTCAAGAGCAACAGCTACTGGCTGCTCAACCTTAGCAAGCTTCGAGTGACAGCCGAGCCTGGCGTGCCATCATCGGTGGTAGCAGCATTATTCTTCCCGGACCTGTCAAGTTCAAGCCTCAAGACGATCATCCTTGATGGTTGTGTTGAGATGGAGAAACTTGGCCATGACGCCGTACCTCCGTCTCTAGAGTCATTTAGCTTCACCTGCGGCTATGCTGACACAAAGATGAAGAGCTTCTCCTTCCGAGCATGTGCCAAATTTGAGACTCTGCTGCTGAGAGGATTGTTTAGGAACCTCCTAGAGCTGGACTTGTCAGGTACAGCGGTGAAAACCCTCGACCTCAGTGCAATCCAAGCCTCACGCTTGAGGCGGCTCTTCTTAATGGGATGTGAGAAGCTCTGTGCAATACTATGGCCTCAGGAAGGCAATAATAAGCTAAAACTAGAGGTGCTGCTCATGGACACCACCCAGACAACAATAGAGGACAGTGATGACGATGAAAGTGTGGGGTTGCCACCATCATCATCTTCAACAACAACAACAATAGAGCCGTGCAGTGGACGACGGGCACCCACCAACTTTCATGTCTACATCTTCCTACGGGATGCAAGGCTTCTTAGGTCGCTCTTGCATGTTGGAGTTGCCAAATATTTACACGTAGAGATTTCATCTAAAGGTGCTTATGCTAGCAGTCGCAGTACAGGTGTTGATGGTGGCTGCAAAGGCTCCAGTCAAGGCAGGGGTAGCTGCGGTGAACAAGTACCAGTTGTAAGCAGCCTGCGGCGGCAGAAGCCAACTGGTAGCACCTGCTTATATGGAGATGGAGACAACATCATTCCCATTCCCACCACATTCGAAGATGCTGGTGTTGGTGGTGCCCCAGCAATCACATCGATGTGGCCATGCCCACCCATTCCTTTTAGTTTCTCATGTGTCCATTGCTATATCAGCATACAAGAGGATGAGCTCCGGACAGGATTGCCGCAAGAAGAAACCAATAATGTTGCTGCTACGACGACTTTGCCGGATTTTGTGCATGACAAAGCCAGGACTCTGTACTTGCATGACAGCTTGTTTGTCACCTGCATCCCAGGCCATACGTCACCTTCTGCGATAGATTTGGATTGGGGCAATCTACGGTGGTGTCGGCTGGAGAGGTGCCCAAACTTACAAGGCACCGTTTTCAGTGGTCCACGAATTGGCGGGTTCAATGTGTTTGTGGATTTGGAGGCGTTCTGGGCATCCCAACTCCCAAAGGCCCGATACATCTGGGACTGGAGCATGTCGTCGTTTCGGCCTGGATTTTGGTCATTCAATGACCTGGTGTTCTTACACCTAGAAAACTGCCCCAGGCTCCTACATGTGCTCCCCCTGTGCTCGTCTAATAACCGTGGATGCTATAGCTTGGAAACCCTCGAGATCATTTGCTGCGGTGACCTCAGGGAGGTGTTTCCATTGTTGGACCCTGCAGAATCGGAGCAGCAACAGATCATCAAGCCCAGAAGCTTTCCTAGCCTTCGGCGCATCCACTTGCATGAGTTGTCCATGCTGCGGCGAATATGCGGGCGCATGATGTTCGCACCCAACCTTGAGATCGTGAGAATCAGGGGCTGCTGGGGCCTCAAGCGCCTGCCAGCCGTTGTTCGTCGCAGCCCTGCAGTGTCAGTACCCGAGGTGGACTGCGAGAAGGAATGGTGGGATAGCCTTGAGTGGGATGGGGAAAATGCTGATCACCACCCGTCCCGGTACAAGCCCACCCACTCAGCATACTACAAGAAGACCCTGCACAGAGCCTCCGTCCTCAGGTGACTGATTACTTACTTGATTAGCTAAGCCTCTTCTAGCTAAATTTGGAGTACGTACCAGTACTGTTACTTCCCTTCAAATTTGTGTGTGTGTGTCGCTGGCATCCTTCACTGGCTCGATCGCCTGACAGTATTCCAATTTCTGCCTACAGGTAGTAACTAGTAACCCGGCCGAGCTTTCAGGGAAGCTGATCGATCGCAGAGATGCATTGCATATGGACCGCTACTAAGTTTTCTTCCGTCAAGTATGAGCTTTGTGCGTGCTTGGTTTCTACCGCTCACTACTGCTGGTTTCTACGTCTTGATGTTTATATTTGTAATAAGGTGATGACGATTCGCCTATAGTTAATTCCAAACACTTGCCTGCTTGTTTTTCTGCTGCTGCTTGAGTGCGTGTGTCTGACATGGATGCTAAGCTACCTTGTGTGTGATCTGCTTCAGCAGCAAGAGCACATCAACTGATGGGTGCACAGCAGAAATCTGATCCCCGTATAGGCCGGGATTGCTGCTGCTGCTGCTAGCTGTGCGTGAGTGATTTGTCAAGGATTATTGTTCCTTCACTTACTATGTATGGAAACCATGAAAATGATTGAGTACGTTGTTTGCCATTATTCTATATATGGTGCAATGCAAGGTGTACAAGTTAATTCCACTGTTCACCTAAACTGCCGTTTAGTAGTCTGTTTAAACAGCGTTTTAAACGGTAATGAAAGGCCACCCATGTCGTTAGGCCGTAATTAACGGCGAATTAAATGGTTGGACGGTTTAAACCATTAAAAACCGTTTAAATGGTCTAAATAGAATAAGTTAAACATGATTAAATGAGCTAAATGATCATTTAGCTCCCTTTTTTTAGTTAATAGGAGGATTACAACTACCACATTTCTGGCATCCAACTAATTAACATCCTAAATATGAGGTCGAGTGAGATTTAGTTTTCTTTCAAAAAAATATTTGGTAGAATTTTTTTACATGCATAGATATGTATACTTTCTAGCATATTAGACTTTTTTTTTATAATAGCATATTAGACTTTCACATACATAATATGTATATTTTAGTGTTACTATACCATATCATTTAGACTATTCAACACTGTCTAAACAAGCTAAATGCTAAACAGTTTACCGTTTAATATTTAGGATATATATAACACTGGCTAATCCTTATAATGAAAATATGTGCTTTCATAGTCTTACTCACCTTATTAGCATATACTAGTCTATCAACTTGTGCTCTCGCATGGACTGTATGTTAGGATACATAAGCATTAGTTTTGGTTTAATACCTCTAACTAATAAAATTACTTATATTGAATTGTATATTTTTCCTCTTTCTTCATTTTTGGTAATAGGCATGATTGATACTTAGTAGTCTCTATCTAGTTGTTAAATTTATAAATTACTGATTTATATATTTTTCCATCCATATGCATAGCTTTTTTTCCCATTTGCATGGCCCCTATGCGTATCTTCAACATGCATTTAGTTACAATCTTAGCCTAAACTATGGTAGCTCTTGTTGCAGCCCATATCTTATGACGTCATGAGTCTAAATTTTATTTATAAATATTAATATCATTGATTTATAAACTATGGTAGATATAATATTACTGACCGTCGGAGCATTTCGGTGACCCCGTGTTTTTCCATTAAAGGGGCATAATGGCTAGTTCTTGAGTGGCTCTATAAATAGAAGTGTGATCGGCCATTTCTGAACTATTGGCACCCTTGGCTGGTATCTATACATCCATAGAGCTCAAGAATACACTCCATTCGCATACACTTGATTGCGATCATCGTTTGGTGAGATTGAAGAGGATTTATATATCTAGTGGCAATAGGATCTTGTTGAGGCTATGAAATTCTTGTTACTCTTGGTGGTTGCCAGAGCCCCTAGATGGCTTGGAGGCAGTGACACCATCAAGCATCGTATGGAGATTGTACGAGGGTTCTAGTGGAGGATTTGTGAGGGACTCTTATGCTCGCCACCACAGAAGATCGCAAAGAGCAACTGTAGTGTAAACTGGATGTTTGTTGGAGTGACACTTCGATTGAGTCAGCTCAAACACTCGCGCTCACATAGGAGCTAAGCTTGAGGGCTTGTTGAGCAAGTAGAGGGACGACGATCTGTGGACTCGCCTCAATGGGAACTTAGTAGGTTGCCGACAAGCAACCGAACCTCAGGGAAAAATCACCATGTCACAATTGTCCCCTTCGGTTTGATCTCTACAGCTCTTGTTTACTTGTTGTTCTTGTTAGTGTAGTTGTGCTTGTGTAGCCGAGTAACCTAATAGCTAGTTCGTTTGCCTTGTGTAGTCGAGTAGTTGGCCAGCTCTCGTTGGAGCAGTTTAGTTGCTCTAGCTTGTTAGTGTAGTTGTGCTTTTGCTAGAGGTGCAAGGTGCTAGCTTGTGCTCCTAGGTAGCTTAGTTGCTTTCTCTAGTTGTAGCTTATGCTAGGTTTGTTGTTGGCCTTGGCTTAACTAGAATTATGTAGGAGCGTTAGCGTTGTTGTGACTAGGTTAGGCGCATATATAGTGCTGTGGGGGGTACGACCCCGGATACCCACGGCAGACCACATGGGCTGCGCCCCCAGGGGCGGCCCAGCCCACAAGATGAAGCCTTGCGGGACACGATTCTGCTCGGCGCCTCCCGCAAGATATAGGAAGGATATCCTGAAGATACTACGAGATCTGTTAGGATACGTATGATCCCATGATTTTTGTAATCTGTTATTACTTTCCGATTATCTCTCAAATCTAACCGACTTGTAACCCTGCCCCCCGGACTATATAAGGCGGGCAGGGACCCCTCCAAAATCACAGCATATCATACGATAGCTAATACAAACCAACAGACCACAGGAGTAAGGTATTACGTCATACTGATGGCCTAAACCTGTATAACTCGTGTGTCTCTGTTGCCTTCTTGTTCTTGATCACACGCTCCTCTGCCGATCAATCTATCTTCGTGAGATACCCCTCGAAGGATTGCCGATGATATTCTGTCGACAGTTGGCGCACCAGGTAGGGGTGTGCGTGCTGTTTCCTTATCGAACAAGATGGCTTTTTCCACAGGCTCTTCGTCCCTCCCGCAGCCCGGCCAGATCTTCACTGTCGGATCCATCTCGTGGGTCATCAATGCTGACGGAGTCGGAGAGCTCCTTGAGCCGGTATAGATCCGTTCTGCGCCGACCTCCCCTGCACCTGCATCTGCAGATTTGATCTTGGAACCACTTCTGAGGTCGTCTTCATCAACGACTCGCCGCTCGCTTCCTCGTTATCAGAGGAGGCACATCAACAATGATGATCTGATCGAATCCATCGATCGGGTCGGTCTGAAATTCGCCGATTGCCTCTCCATCGCCGAGTCGGCTCTGGACACTTTCGTTCAGCACCGACCACCCTCCGATCCGCATCTATCGGAAGTTGTTCGGCAAACTCCGGGGGTTATGGCCCTGCCCTTCGGGCTCGCCAACACCGCCGCTACATGCCAAGATGCCCTGAGGGGCGAATTCACCTACCAGGTGGGGGATATCCATCCTCTCACCGACCAGATCGCCGATCAGCTCCCGCCAACGGTCAACATGCTGCACGCCATCTGAGGCCCCGGAGCATCCCTCCAAACCATCCTGGAGGAAAATCCAGACTCCGAATCCCAGGGCTCCATAGAGACCCTCGCCGAAACCTTCACCGAGCAACCCCCTCTCCCGCCTTTCCGGGGTGACGCGATCTTCAACATCAGCATCGACAGCCCTCCTCGGAACAGCGAAACTGATGAGGAACGCGCCGCTCATGAAAATAGGAACGTCAACCGCGTGCAACGCCGTGAAAACGAGTGCGCCCTTGCGATGGCCGAGGCCGCTCATGACAACCAATTTGACTCGCAAGGAAGCCGCTCCACTGCAACCTCGACGAAGAGTTTCTCCGCGTTGACGGCCAAGACTTCTTCAAGACTCCAAGGGCCAATCTGGCGGTGGCCGCCAACGAGCTCGCCCGCCTCCCGCAGACGCCCGAGCTCGCCAAGGTCGCCGCTATGCTTAAAGCGGCACACTGTCAAGTCAATGAGATCCAAGAGGATCAGAGACCTTCGTGCTCCACGAGCACGATTCGCCGATTAGCTGTGCCTAAATCCAATTGCCGCCCAAGTCAAAGGCGGTTCGCTGACCAGTCACTACCTCTCCAGGGGGAGCTGGGGGCCACTACGCCGAGCATCATCGCTAGCATGACCAGAAGGTCGAACAGGACGCTCGAGTGCACCTCAGTAACCTTCGGGATGCACGACGGCGTATCGAGCAACGTCGCTTCAGTCGCCATGAAGAAGAAGTACGTCGCCGCCAGAGGTACGAGCAAGAGTACGGTAATCCAGACTCAGCTCTAGAGCCGATCGTCGTCGGCAACACTGCAGACAATGGCGCCGACAACCCAGAAGGGCCCCTAGCTTTTACCAGGGCGCTCCGAACACTCCAGTGGCCCCGTGGTTTTAAAATCACCGGGGTCGAGCCCTATGAAGGAAGGATGAACCCAACTCAGTGGCTGCAGGCTTACGCCACTGCTGTTCGCGCCGTCGGAAGAGACACCAACGTCATGGCAAATTATCTCCCCGTCATGCTCACGCCAGCCGCCACGAGCTGGTTCACAAGCCTTGCCCTGGATTCCATTGGATCTTGGGAAGAGCTAAAGAAAGTCTTTACTGACAATTACATGGCTACATGTACGTGGCCGGGCACCAAGCATGATCTCAACCGCATCACCCAAAATGATGAGGACATGACCTCCATACATATGACCATGCTTGGAGAACCATATGGAGACCAAGGAGATCAGCGAGGGAGTCCTAACCGAGAAGGAGGCCCGAAGCTAATTCGGTTCGAGTCCCCGAGGTGGAGGCCCAAAGCAACTCAAGTTCGAGTCTGCCTCGGCCTCCAGGACTAGTCTGTCTTAAACTGGTCACCCAGGACGCATCCGGACTCTGTTTTTGATGATCCACATATGGATGGAAAGCTA